GCAGGAGGAGTCTGACGCCGTCGGACGCCGTCGGGCCTCTCTGGGCCAAGTTGGAGCCTTCTTGGGACGCTTGTCCTGGAGGCCATCTTGGGCGTCTTGGAGGTCTCCTGGGCCGTTTTGGGGCCCTCTTGAGGCCGTCTTGCGGGCCTCGTGGGCCGTCAGGGGGCCATCTCGGAGGCCTCGTGGGTGCTCTGGAGCCATCTTGGTGGCCTCTGGGCTGTCTGTCTGATGCCGTCGGAAAATCGAAACTGAGCAATCGCCGAAATCCTTCAAGAACCCCACGGGAATCAATGGTTTTGGGCTCTTCGGGCCTTCCTGAACGTTCTCTTGGTGGCCTCTTGAAGCCGTCTTGGAGGCCTCTTGGGCGATCTTGAAGCCATTTGGGTCAGCTTGCGGACATTTTGGGGCTATCTTGGGCTCTCTTGTGGGCCATCGTAGCCGTCTTGGAGGCCATGTTGGCCGTCTTGGGAGCTATCTTGGGGCCGTTTGGAGCGGGCAAACCGACGACCTGGGAAGTTTCCGGATCCGCATGGGGCGAAACGACCAACGGAGGCCGAACATTGTGCATCCTTCCGGGTGGCTGGCGGGTTGGGCCGAAGGCCCTCTGGGAACTTTTGACAAGGACCAAGAACTACCTGACGTTCAGCACGCCAGGCACTTCTGTGGCAAGGGCGGCGGATCTACTGGCAACGGCCCACCCCGCCGCCTTGCCTGGGTTGTGGATCAGAGTCCTCAAGAATGCTTCTTGGGGTCGCTTCGGAGTGCTCTCGGTGGCCTCTAGGGGGCAGTTTTGATGGCCCTTGGGGCTTCTTGGGGGCCTGCTGGGGGCCCCGTAGGAGCCTCTTGGGGGCCTCTTGGGGGCCTCTTGGGGGCCTCCCTGGGGCCTCTTGTTGCGGAGAGCTCGAAATCTTGGTTCGTGTTCCCCCTTCTGGGATCTCTTTTGGGGCCTTCTGGGGGCCCTCTTGAGCTGTCTTGGAGGCCTCTTGGGCCATCTTGGAAGCCTCTTGGGCCGTCTCGGCACCCCCTTGGGGGCCTCTTGGGCCACCTTGGGGCAATCCTGGGGGCCTGTTTGGCCGTCATGGAGCGTCGGGAACCCGAAAAAGCGGGAATGCCCAAGTCCTTCAAGCACCGCACGCAAATTATTCCGACGGAAGGACCCCGCAAGAGAATCTGTTTAGCTTGCCGCAGAGCTTGGGTTCATGCTGCCTCCCGCCTGAGCGCGGCTGCGCCCCGCTCGAAGCCCTCGGGGTTGTCCCAACGGCTTGGCCCGCGGGGCTGTCCCGACCGCCTGCCCCCGCGCCCCAGCGGCCCGTGGGGTTGTCCCAAAGGCTTCGCGAACCAGCCGTCGGGGAATGCGCGCTCTGGCCGCGACGGCGACGGCGCCGAGGAACATCGATTTGCTTGCCCCGACCAAGGGGAAGGGGAGGAGCGCGCGGAGAAGAAGCAGGGGAAGGACGAGGACGGTGAAGGGGTAGGGAGGGGGTGATGATGAGGAGGAAATGGAAAAGGAGGAGGAGGAGGAGAAATCGAAGGAGGGGGAGTAGGTGAGGGCAGAATGGCGGGCGAGAGGGGAGTGTCCGTCAGGGCGAGGAGGAAAAAGGGTAAGGGCACGCTAAACATATTCTCATGTGGGGTCCTTCCGTCGGAGTAATTACAAGTTGCCGATGACCCGCTCGAATTACCAACGTGAAGTGCGGGACCCATAGGGAGGGGGCTCCCGCCCGAGACTTGCTCACACTTCACTCACAGACGAGGCTCGCGCTTGATACATTCTCCAAATTCAGGCCTGAGGAGCCCAAACGTGACGACAGTTACAAGTTGCCGATGGCCCGCTCGGATTACCAACGTGAAATGCGGGACCCATAGGGAGGGGGCTCCCGCCTGAGACTTCTTCACAATTCACTCACAGACGAAGCTCCCGCTTGATACATTTTTCAAATTCAGGCCTGAGGAGCCCAAGCGTGACGACAGTTACAAGTTGCCGATGACCCGCTCGGACTACCAACATGAAGTGCGGGACCCATAGGGAGGGGGCTCCCGCTTGAGATTTCTTCACAATTCACTCACAGACGAAGCTCCCGCTTGATACATCCTCTAAATTCAGGCCTGAGGAGCCCAAGCGTGACGACAGTTACAGGTTGCCGATGACCCGCTCGGATTACCAACATGGAGTGCGGGACCCATAGGGAGGGGGCTCCCGCCTGAGACTTCCTCACAATTCGCTCACAGACGAGGCTCCCGCTCGATACTTGCTCCACATTCAGGCCTGAGGAGCCCAAAAGTGGGGGCAGTTACAGGTTGCCGATGGCCCGCTCGGATTGCCAACATGAAGTGCGGGACCCATAGGATGGGGGCTCCCGCCGGAGACTTCCTCGGGTGACATAAGCGAGTGACGGGGATGAGTGAATGAGTGAGTGAGTGGATGGGTGGTTGGGTGGGTGGGTGGGTGGGTGGGTGGGTGATGATGATGATGATGAGTGGTGATGAGTGCGATGATGATGATGATGATGGTGGTGATGATGATGAATCTGATGATGATGCCGATGATGATGATGCTGATGATGATGATGATGATGATGATGGTGGTGATGATGATGATGAGAGGGATAGTGAGAGAAATATGGGGGTGAGGAGGAGATCCTGCGCGGAGGGTGTCTAGAGAAAACAAGAACCCCACTTAGGATGTGGAGAAAACAATCATTTTGCCTCTTGGGGCCCTCTTCGTGGTGCTCTCGGGGCGTCTCGGAGGCCTCTTGGGCAGTCCGGAGGCCATCCTGGGCGTCTTGGAGCGATCCCTCGGCGAATCGGAGCCCTCGTGGACACATCGCAGGGTTTTGGAGGTCGTTCCAGGCGGGCGCAGCGGCCCGAGGACCCGTAGGGATCACCCCCAGAACTCGCGGGGAACACCCCCGAAGACCCCAGGACGGCCAGGAACTCCGGAACTGTGGGCCCCTCAGGAGCTGCATTCCTGGCTGCAACAGCTGTGAGCCCTGGGGCACTGCGTGTCGTGCCAGAGGCACGATGGCGGATCTCTTTTGGACATCTCCTCTCGTGCCTCCTCCCACGCTCGTCCATGTGTCGCATTCGGGTCGGTAGTCAAAAGGGTCATGCCAGGCCGAGCCAAGCAAGTCCGCGGCAACCAGGCCGAGCGAGCCAACCCAAATCAAGCGTGTATCCGTGGCACGCATGTATGCCGAAACAGCCAGGTCGAAGCAATGGAGTCCGCGATATTCAGGGAAACCAGAGACCCCGTAGAAAACTGTTGCATCGAGCAAAGCAAATCCAGCAATCTGGCTGAACCAGCCAGGCCGAACCAAGCAAATTCGCGGCACCCAGGCCGAACAAGCCAGGCCGAACCATGCAAATACTCGGTATGCGCGCCGAATCAGACAGGCGGAGGCAGGCAAATCCGTCTCCTTTGCCGAACCAGCCAAGTCGAACCACGCGCAAATCCGTGGCACCCAAGCTGATCCAGCAAGGCCGAACCACACAATCTGCATCACCCGTGCCGAATCAGCCAGACAGAACGAAGCAAATTCGCGGCACCTGGGCCGAACCACCCATGGCGAACTAAGAACATCAGCGGCACTTCGGCCGAGCCAAGCAAATCCACGGCACCCCCGCCGAACCAGCCAGGCAGAACGGAGCAAGTCCGCGACAGTCAGGCCGAACCAGCCTGGCCGAATCAAACAAATCCGCAACACCGAGGCCGCACCAGCGAGGCGGAGTCAAGCAGCACTGGCGACCCAGCTGGGCCGACGTCGCGGCACCCAGACGGAGCCAGCCAGCCACGCTGGGGCCAAGCAGATCCGCAACACCAGCGCTGAAACAGCCAGGTCCAAGCACCTCTGCGGCGCCCACGCCGAACCAGCCGGGACGTTGGACACCCAGGCCGAGTTTGCCAGAACTAACCTAGCGAGTCCTGGGGCGCTCAGGCCAGAACAGACAAGCGGATTTAGGCAAACCCGCGGCACTTAGGGCGAACCAGCGAGGTAGAATGAATCGATTCATGGGCACCCAGGCCAAAGCAGACAGCCATGTCCCCCACCCAGACCGGACTGTCGAAGCCGAACCAAGCAAATCTGCGGCACCCAAGCCGAAGCAGGAAAGCGGAACCGGGCAATTGCGCGGCACCCAGGGAGACCAGACCAAGCAATTCTGCGGCATCCAGGCAAAACCAGCCCACGGCACCCAAGCCAAGAACGCCAGCCCGAATCAAGCGTTTCCAGACCACCCAGGCGTCCCAGTCGGACGGAACCAAACATGTCCACTGCATCTTCTCCAAACCAGCCAGGCGAACAGCACAAATCTGCAGCATCCAGGACGAATCAGTGAAGCCGCGAAGCAAGCAAATCAGTGGCACCCCGGCTGGACCAGTCAGGCCGAACCAAGTGAACCCATTGCACCCAGGACGAACCAGCCAGGTGGCATCAGCCAGGCCGGACCAAGCGAGTCCAGTGCACCCAGGACGAACCAGCCATGATGAACCAGCCAGGCCGAACCAAGTGAATCCGCGGCACTCAGCCAGGGAGGCCGAGCCAAGCAAACTTGCGGCCCCTATGGGCAACCAGAGCCACTGGAACAGCGTGCAACGCCGAACCGAGCAACCTTGCGACACGGCACACTGAGGCAAGGAATCAATCGATCTTTGGTTGTGCTTCTCGTCGCCATCTCCCCATTTCCCCCACCCTATTCTCAATCTGTCTGTTTCCTCCAAGCATTCAGCTCTCGATGCCGCTTGGAGCGGAGCCTAGCCGGTCTCTTCGCTTGAGTCGCTTTGGGGGAGGGACTCAAGGCCCGTATCTCTGCAGCCGGCCCCCGGGGCCCGCGGCCGGGCGAGGCGCCGCTCCCGGGGAGCAGGACCTGCCGCGCCCGGATGGCAAGGCTTGCCTCCGGGTGTTGCCCCCCCTCCTCCTCCTCCTCCTCCTCCTCCTCCTCCTCCTCTCCTCCTCCCTCCTCTCCTCTCCTCCTCCTCCTCCTCCTCCTCCCTCTCTCCTCCTCCTCCTCCTCCTCCTCCTCCTCCTCCTCCTCCTCCTCCTCCGGGCCCCAAGACCCCCCAAAGGAGCCCCAAAAGGACCCGAAGATCCACCAAAAGAGTCACAAAAAGGCTCCAAGAGGCAATTTTGAATGCTGTCCTCGTCCTCGTTGTCCTCCTCCTCCTCCTCCTCCTCCTCCTCCTCCTCCTCCTCCTCCTCGGACCCGTGCCAGGTCCGACGGCGGCGGGCGCCTGAGCAGCGGCCCGGGCGCGGGCGTGGACGCCGCGGGGCAGGCCCCGCGGCCGCGGGGCTGCAGGGCTCTCCTCGGGGGGTGGTCTCCGGTACCGCTGCGGTCGGACCGAGGCAGGAGGTCGAGGTCCGTTCGGGGAGGGTGTCCCGGTGTTCTTCCTGCTTGTTGGATGTTCTCGTGCATCCTGGAGGAGGGTACCCTCGCATGGTCTTAATGTTTGGGGTGATTTGGCCAGCGGAGAGCCTCATGCTCTTGAAGCATGGTTCTTCTGTCCTAGGTCCGACTGTACCTTCCCCTCTTGACGATCGGCGCTCAATCCAACCTGCTGCTGCTGCTGCTGCTGCCCCCGACTGAACGCTGGGGGAAGCAGGGCTTGCACTTGGGGATTCTGATTTGCTTTTCTAGGGAAGTGGGCCTGGAGGTCGGTCTGGCGGCTCTCTGGCCGCCGTCGCCGCCCCGTCGCCGCCTCGTTCCCGCCCGTCGTCTGGGCCGGAACGTCGGTCTGGCGGCTATGTGGCCGCCGTCGCTGCCCCGTCGCCGCCCTGTCGCCGCCTTGTCGCCGCCTCGCATCGATTGCACCGCAGAGGTGGCACCGCACAGATTGCACTGCAGAGATTGCACCACATCGATTCTCCTTCCTGAAAAGCAGTAGATTCTACCCCACCCCCCGGGATTACCCGCCCCCCCTTTTCGCACTGCAGTTTGCATATGATTCTCCCCCATCGTCCATCTTAAGTATGAACTCAAACCATTCCGGCCGAGCCGGTATCGCCCCCCCCGCCATCTTCTGCAACCTATGTTATGCGCGCGCTTTCGTTTATCAAACATCTTAAGTTTTCAAGAATCTTTTCAACAGATGGGACGAAGTGCACACGCGCGCGTCGTCGCGCGCGCATTCCGCAATCCTTCAAAACCTTTTGGTTTCGTAAGGACTTCAAAATTGAGTGCCCCAACAACACATAACAAACTTACTTTCGCAGCACGGTTTTTCAAAACAACTTGCGCGCGCTCTTGCGAATGGTCAAGCAGATCATTTGTTTTTTTTTGCCTCCCCAATCTTCCTACGGTTGGGTATTCGTTTTGAAGAGAGAACTGTGGTATCCACTTTTCGCCCTCTCCTCCTCCTTCTCTCCTGTGTTCGCGGTGCCCTGCGGGGCTGCGATCTGCGCAATTGTCGCCACTTTCGTGGGCTCCTGGCTGTCCCCTGCGGGGCTGCGATTTGCGCAACTGTCGCCCCTTTCGTGTGTTCCTGGGAGGCCCAGCAGAGGTACGTCATACGCAGATCACTTTGAGGCCTCCCTGTCCCCTGCGGGGCTGCGATCTGCGCAACTGTCGCCACTTTCGTGGGTTCCTGGGAGGCCCAGCGGAGGTACGTCATACGCAGATCACTTTGAGGCCTCCCTGTCCCCTGCGGGGCTGCGATCTGTGCAACTGTCGCCACTTTCGTGGGTTCCTGGGAGGCCCAGCGGAGGTACGTCATACGCAAATCACTTTGAGGCCTCCCTGTCCCTTGCGGGGCTGCGATCTGCGCAACTGTCGCCACTTTCGTGGGTTCTTGGGAGGCCCAGCGGAGGTACGTCCTACGCAGATCACTTTGAGGCCTCCCTGTCCCCTTGGCGCACCTGGCGCGCACCTGGCGCACCTGGCGCGCACTTGGCGCGTTGGGCGCACCTGACGCACCTGACGCGCTGGGCGCACCTGGCGCGCACCTGACGCACCTGGCGCACCTGGCGCACCTGTCGCACTTGTCGCACCTGGCGCACCTGGCGCACCTGGCGCGCACCTGGCGCGCACCTGGCGTGCACCTGGCGCACCTGGCGCACCTGGCGCACCTGCCGCACCTGGCGCACCTGGCGCGCCTGGCGGGCCTGGTGCAACTGGCGCACCTGGCGCTGCGGGGCTGCGATCTGCGCAACTGTCGCCACTTTCGTGGGCTCCTGGGGGGCCCAGCGGAGGTACGTCATACGCAGATCACTTTGAGGCCTCCCTGTCCCCTGGGGGGGCTGCGATCTGCGCAACTGTCGCCACTTTCGCGGGCTCCTGGGAGGCCCAGCGGAGGTGCGTCATACGCAAATCACGTTGAGGCCTCCCTGTCCCCTGGGGGCTGCGATCTGCGCAACTGTCGCCACTTTCGTGGGTTCCTGGGAGGCCCAACGGAGGTACGTCATACGCAGACCACTTTGAGGCCTCCCTGTCCCCTTGGCGCACCTGGCGGGCACCTGGCGCACCTGGCGCGCACCTGGCGCGCTGGGCGCACCTGACGCACCTGACGCGGTGGGCGCACCTGGCGCGCACCTGGCGCACCTGACGCATCTGGCGCACCTGGCGCACCTGTCGCACCTGTCGCACCTGGCGCACCTGGCGCACCTGGCGCGCACCTGGCGCGCACCTGGCGCGCACCTGGCGCGCCTGGCGCGCCTGGTGCAACTGGCGCACCTGGCGCACCTGGCGCACCTGGCGCACACCTGGCACACCTGGTGCATCTGGCGCACCTGGCGCACCTGGCGCGCTGGGCGCACCTGGCGCACCTGCCACACCTAGCGCAGACCTGGCGCCCTGGCGCGCCTGTCGCACCTGGCGCACCTGGCGCACCTTGTGCACCTGTCGCACCTGGCGCGCATGGCGCACCTGGCTCACTTGGCGCGCCTGGCGCAACCAGCGCACCTGGCACACCTGGTGCAACTGGCGCACCTGGCGCGCACCTGGCGCGCGCCTGGCGCACACGTGGCGCACACCTGGCGCGCTGGCGCACCTGGCGCGCGCCTGGCGCGCACCTGGCGCGCACCTGGCGAGCACCTGACGCGCTGGGCGCAACTGGCGCACCTGGCGCGCTGGGGGGACCTGGCGCGCACCTGTTGCACCTGGCGCGCTGGGCGCACCTGACGCACCTAACACACCTGGCGCACCTGGCGCACCTGGCCCGCCTGGCGCGCCTGGCGCGCTTGGCGCGCCTGGCGCAACTGGCGCACCTGGCGCGCCTGGCGCACACCTGGCGCACCTGGCGCACCTTGCGCATCTGGCGCACCTGGCGCACCTGGCACACCTGGCGCACCTGGCGCACCTGGCGCACCTGGCGCGCTAGGCGCACCGGGCGCACACCTGGCGCACCTGGCTCACTTGGCGCGCCTGGCGCACCTGGCGCACCTGGCGCGCCTTGCTCATTTGGCGCACCTGGCGCACCTGGCGCGCCTGGCGCACCTGGCGTACCTGGCGCATCTGGCGCACCTGGCGCACCTGGCGCGCGGGGCGCACCTGGCGCACCAGGCACACCTGGCGCACACCTGGCGCAGACCTGGCGCACACTTGGCGCACCTGGCGCGCCTTGCTCATTTGGCGCACCTGGCGCGCCTGGCGCGCCTGGCGCACCTGGCGCACGTGGCGCACCTGGCGCACCTGGCGCACCTGGCGCACCTGGCGCACCTGGCGCACCTGGCGCACCTGGCGCACCTGGCGCGCCTGGCGCGCTTGGCTCACCTGGCGCGCATGGGCCTCTGGGAGGCTCAGCGGAGGTACGTCCTATGCAGATCACCACTATACCATGGCGCCGAAATGTCATTCGGTTTTGAGTGGTCCTGAATGCAGTTGTCACTTGTGTAGAACGGGTTGGGTACGTCGCAGGATTTTTTTTGTTTCTCTTTCTCTCTCTCTCTCTCTCTATCTCTCTCTCTCTCTCTCTCTCTCTCTCTCCCTCTCTCTCTCTCGCTCCCTCTCTCTCTCTATCTCTCTCTCTCTGTCTCTCTCTCTCTCTCTCTCCCCTCTCTCTCTCTCTCTCTCTCTCTCTCTCTCTCTCTCTCTCTCTCTCTCTCTTCATTTTTCCAATAGAAGAAGCATTCTCGTAACGTGCTACCAAAGGGCTTCGCACGCCCGCATGTCGAAATCGTTCGAACGCCCTTGCGCGCGTGCTGTGGCGAGAATCCTTTGCAAGAAAAGGGGCGAAGTGCACGCGCGCGCGTCGTCGCGCACGCATGCTGAAATCCGTGAAAAGCCTGGGGTTTCTTGGAGATGTCAGAACCTACTGTCCAAAACAAATACAAAAACACATGGTTTCGCAGCACCAGTTTTCAAGAAAACCGTTGGAGCTCAACTTGTTCATGGAATTCTGCCAAACGGGCCTCTCGCGCCGCATGCCGAGATCATTCGCACGCCCTTGCGCGCGTGCTGGGGTGGGTTGGGGGGGGGGGGGGGGCGCGCGCCGTCCGCGCGCGCAGGTGGAACTCTTTCCGAAACCTGCATCACCGACGCGAGGACGCCGTCATCGTCGTCGGCGTTATCAGCATCGGCGCCGTTACTGGCCGCGCCCGCCTTCGTCGTTGTCAACATCGCCACCAGCGTCGCTACTATCATCATCGTGTCTACCGATGTCGACGTTGCCATGGTATCGAGCCAGCCCAAGTCGCCGACTCGCAGTGAAGTGCCCGCTGGTATGCGCCCAGCGGTCAGCGACACCGCGGCTGCGTCGGTCGCGCCAAACTAGCTGGCCGCTGCGCGCGCATGCTTGGGTTAGCGCGGCCGCAGAGATGCAACATCCAACGCAGAGCACTCATCGCAATCGCCGCCACATGGTTTTTTTGCAAACCAAGCTGCAGGTGGGTGGGTGGGATGCGTGCAAGAGCGTAGAATGTGTCAACTCTTTTGTAGAAAAATCAAATTGCACCACGTAGGTTCGCTTCTCTTAGAAGAGAATAGGTTCGACCCCCCCGAGATGATCGCCCCCCTCTTTGTATTCCAATGTTCGCATGATTCTGCCCCATCGTCCATCCGAAATCTGAATTCATACCATCCCAGCCGAGCTGGTATCGCATCCCCCTGCCAGCCACCGCGGAAAAATGTTATCTGCGCGCGTTCGATTACCAAAGATCGTAAGTTTCCGAAAATACCTTGCCAACAATTCTGATGAAATGCACACGCGCGCGTCGTCGCACGCGCATGCCGGAATCATTCGAAAGCCGTCGGTTTCTTAAGGGCTTCAAAATCGAGTGTCCCAAAAACATATAAAACACATGGTTTCGCGACACGGGCTTTTGAAAAAGCTTGCGTGCGCTTTTGCGAATCGTAAAGTTAGCTTTTACAGAATTTTCACAACATTCTACCACATTCTACCAAACGGGCTTCGTGCGCGCATGTCCAAATCGTTCGAACGCCATTGCGCGCGTGCTGTCGCGAGAATCCTTTGCAACATAAAGAGACGAAATGTACACGCGAACGTTGTCGCGCGCGCGTGCCGGAATCCGTCGAAAGCTTTTGGTGTCGTAAAGGTTCCCAAACCGAGTGTCCAAAACAAATATAACAAACAAGCATGGTTTCGCAACGTCAGTTTTCAGAAAAGCATGCGCTCTCGCGCTCTTGCGTAAAAGCACCATCGGTTTTTCCAACATGTTCATCGAATTCTGCCAAACGGTCTGGCTGCTATGCTGCCGCCGTCGCCGCCCCGTCGCCGCATTGTCGCCGCCCGTCGTCTTGGCCTGGCTGTCGGTCGCCGCGCTTGTTACCGGCGTCGCCGCCCTTTCGCCGCCCCACAGAGATTGCACAGCATGGATTGCACAACGTAGATTGCATGACAGAGATTCCATCATATCTATACGTATATGTATCAATATTGCATCACATAGATAGCACACCACATATATATAGCCCAACATGTGCTACACAACCTTGACTGCAATTCGTAGAGCGTTCTTCATATATTGTACAACAAGGGCTGCACAACATGCGTTGCATAACGAAGGTTTCACCAAATGCATGCAACTTTTCTTATGTATATGTATATCGGTATGGCTGTATACATACCTATCATGCACCACATAGAATGCACACCGCATATATCGCACAACACCTAGTGCACAACCCCGATTGCAAAACATAGAGCGCTCCACATAGATTGCACAACATGTTTTGCACCATATCTATTGCACCACATAGATTGCACAGCGTAGATTGCACAACATATACTGCACAACATGTTTTGCACCACGTTGTGGTCTTCACATATATTGCATCACATAGGTCGCACCACAAAGAGTGCACAACATAGGTTGCTCACCTTACATTGCACAACATCGATTGCACCAGTCTATCTATCTATCTATCTATCTGTCTATCTATCTATGTATCTATATATACAAATATCACAGTATACCTGGTATCTCATATATTGGACCCCGTTCGCTGCACAACATAGACTGCACATCATGGATTTCGCAACCTAGATCGCGCAGCACAGACTGCGCCACATAGACTGCTCCACACAGACTGCACGACATGGGTATACAGAACACACACACATGCACATCGTTAGGGGTCCACGCTGGCTGACGTGCAGTTTTTGTTCCTTCTGAGATTCCCCCTGAGAGATGGCGTCATGAGTGCGGGCGGGCTTTGCCGCAGCAGTGAACGGACCGGGCGGCCTCGTCTCGGAGCCCGTCGGCTGCTGCCGCGGCCGCCCCGTGGCGAGGCGCCCGCGCCGCTGGGGCTCAACCTGGGCTCGTTGCTGAGGCGGCGCGGGCCGGGGGGGGCTGGCGGGCATTGTCTTGTCTTGACACGTCGTTCGGCGACTACAAAGGGTGTGGCCACGCTGGGCTGTGGCTTGCGATCGGCACCGTTGGGGCCTGGGGGGCACGACGCCGTCCTCGTCGGGCCGCCTCGGGGCGCGGCGGAGAGCTCAGTCGGGTTCTCGCCAGCCCCCCAGGGTGACCCCCAGGGTGCCGGTTGTAAACCACACCCTGTGCAAACCACATCCTTCGGATTCGCCGAGTCGTGGCAGAGAAGCGAAGACTCGAAAGCCCTGGCACACAAGCGATGCGGCCGTGGCTTCTCTGCCCTCACGGGGTTCATTTCGATTTGGTCGCTCGGACTCGAGATCGGTTCCGGCCATTTCGACCCGATTCGATCCCGATGTTCCTTAGATCCGATTCGGCCCAATGCCTGCATGGCGCTGTTGTGCGGCCCGGCGCGGCCGATCCGCTTCGATTCCGACGCTGCGCTGGTGCGGCCCGATCCGACTCGCACTCTCCGATCTGCTCCGATCTCCCGCTTCGGTGCTGGCTGATCTCGCCCTCCTCGTGGCGAAGACGCCACACGAGGAGGGCGTCGGGGTGCGATGTGCCCGGAAGGGGCGAGACCTCGGGGGCGCCCCGTGCCCGACCGACTCGAGAGCGCGGCGCGCCCGATCGCCGCTCGGCCGGGGGCGAGGCCATCGATTCGTCTCGTCGCCTGCCCTGACTGACCTCCACCAGCGGGGGGGCGATCGGGAGCGGGTGGGACGGGCAGAGGGAGGCGAAGAGGGGGAGGAGGAGGAGGAGGAGGAGGAGGAGGAGGAGGAGGAGGAGGAGAGTAGGAGGAGGGGATGAGGAGAGGAGGAGGAGGAGAGAGGATGAGGAGGAGGAGGGGGAAGGAGGAGGCAAGGAAGGAGGAGGAGGGAGGAGGGAGGTAGGAGGAGGAGGAGGAGGGGAGGAGGAGGAGGATAGGAGGAGGAGGAGGAGGAGGAGGAGGAGGAGGAGGAGGAGGAAGGGAGGAGGAGGAGGGGAGGAGGGGGAGGAGAGGAGGAGGAGGAGGAGTAGGAGGAGGGAGGAGGAGAGGGAGGAGGAGGAGTAGGAGGAGAGGTAGAGAAGAGGAGGATGGAGGAGGAGGAGGAGGAGGAGGAGGAGGAGGGAGGAGGCGGAGGGGAGGAAGGAGGAGGATGCGGAGGAGAGAGGAGGAAGGAGGGGGGAGGATGAGGATGAGGATGATGAGGAGGAGGAGGAGGAGGAGTGGAGGAGGAGGAAGGAGGAGGGGTAGGAGGAGGAGGAGGAAAAGGGGGAGGGGGAAGGAGGGGGGAGGAGGGAGGAGGAGGAGGAGGGAGGAGGGAGGAGGAGGAGGAGGAGGGGGAGGAGGAGGAGGAGGGGGGAGGAGGAGGAGGAGGAGGAGGAGGAGGAGGAGGAGGAGGAGGAGGAGCAGGGGGGTTACAGCAGAGTGGGGTGGAGCCGCCTCGTGGACCTCGGCTGCCTCGAGTGCGTTTGGAGGCTCGAGCCCCTCGCGGGGAGCGTGCGTACCCCCCGAAGCACGCGGGCACTCAGACAGTCTCTAGGCGCTCTGACCCCCCGGACCGCTTCCCTGTCTTCAGCAGGTGCTGAGCAGCGTGAGTGGAGGCATCCCGCCAGGGGCGCCCTCGGCGCCATGGAGGCCGGGGAGCTTCAGCGGCCCACAGTGACCAGTGGGTTGTTAGTCGAGGAAGGACTGCTCGCCCGGTCGTCACCTCGTCGCCAGATCCTTCGTTTGATGGGTTGGCTCGGAAGTGTCAGCATACGGCTGGAGTACCTCAGGAAACCGTCCTCCACGAGGAGATCCGCCTTACTCAGCCTGACCAGCTCCTCACTTCCGTTCCTCTGTTCCTCGTAAGTCGTTCACGCATTTCGCTGACATTGCGAACCCAGTGTATCAGATGATTACGCGTGTGAGTGTGTGTATATGATACTGCACGCAGGAAGGAGGTAGTGTTGCGAGCCGGTCGCCGGATTCTGAGAGTCTAGATGTTTTGTTGCTCCGCTGTGACGCCATGGTCTGCCCGCATCCAACTCTCGGGCCGAACGAAAGAGGGGGATAGGGAAAGGGGCGGTTACGAAATCTGCGGCATGCAGCTTATTTCGGCCCCGCCGCGGGGCCCATTCCTCGATACATGGGCGCCTCCCAGCGCAGGGAGGCGCTGGGAAAATCAGCTACACGAGCTGATTCTCTACCCTAACCTTCGCTATCCCACCCCTTGCGTTCCCCCCGAAACTCCTCCCCGTGCCTCCACCGACGACCGGAGGGGGCTCCAACACGGGGCCGTGCCGGGTGCCGACCCGAACGTCTCCTTCCTGTGTCACAAGTACACGACGCTCGTGGAGCGGCTGCGACGAGCAGAGGCGCACCGCCGCGGGCTGCGTGTCGGCAGCCCAGCTGCTGCTGCTGCTGTTGCTGCTGCTGCTGCTGCTTGTCGTGTGTTGTTTCTGCTGCTGCTCCTCCTCTCGGTCCCGTTTAACCAATCCCCATCCCCATCCCCATCCCCATCCCCATCCCCATCCCCATCCCCTATCCCCTTCGAGACCCCCACCAAATTACCCCCCAGTTGGGGATACACCCCCTCGAAACCATGAGGGAACGGCCTATATCCCCATCTAGGGGGGTAAGTCGGCGAGTGGGGCCCAGGCAACGCCGTTGGGAATGGGGATCGGTTAAACGATACTCCTCCTCCTCGAGTTTCTGCTCACAAGAGTGTCAATTCGTGGTGTATCCGTGCTCGCACGCACGCTGACAGAAGATTGTGCACGCTCGCCCGAGCACTGTTGGCTCACTTGGTCGACCTGGTGACTGACGGTTCTTGTCTTCTCGTCCCCTGGTCTTGGCTGGCCGTCGTCCCTTTTCTTGGTGAGCGCGTGCCTCCCAGTGTTAAGTCGGGCCTGTCCCTCTACAGGAGGAATATTCCCAAATAGTCAAACAATAGTGGGGGGACGTTTTTTTTTATTTATTAAATATTTACATATATATATATATATATGAAAATATTGTATATCATTATTTTTCGTCCATAAGCAGCCTGTAGGGGGACACACCCGACTCAATCCCAGTGTTCCTCCTCTGGCCGCGTGGCCGACGTGGTCGTGGTCCCTGCCTTTTCCAGGCTCGCTTGCGTGCTGAGCACACGCGAGCGAGGCCGGGAAGTCCGCTTGGACCCTTCGCGGCTGGCTCCAGCACCTGGTGATCGAGTACTTCTCGCCGTACGCGTACCCCCACCAGCCCATCCAAGACTTTTGCCCAGGAGAGTTGACGGGGAAAGGCAAGAGGAGACACGCGTGGAGAAACAGAGCTGGCAGCAGGGGCGAACAAAGAGACCTCTGGGAGCAAGATTGTGGCCGTGGAGGGCCTCTGCGGGCCATCCTCGGGGCCCGCATGGGGGCGGGGTAAGGAGGAGGAGGAGGAGGAGGAGGATGAGGAGGAGAAGGACGATGACGATGACGACGTCGACGACGAGGACGACGACGACGCCGACGACCACGCCGACGCCGACGCCGACCACGACCACGACCACGACCACGACCAAGACCACGACCACGACCACGACCACGACCACGACGCCGATGAAGAAGAGGAAAGGGAAAAGGAGGAAGATAAGGGCAAGACGAGGACGGGGACGAGGAGGAGAAGGAGGATGAGGAGGAGGAGGACAACGAGGACGAGGACAGCATTCAAAATTGCCTCTTGGAGCCCTTTTGTGACTCTTTTGGGGGATCTTGGGGTCCTTTTGGGGCTCTTTTGGAAGGTCTTGGGACCCTCTTGGGGCCCTCTTGGAGCTCTCTTGGCTGTCCCTTGGGAGCCTCGGAGGGCCTCTTGGGACCATCCTGGAGGCCATCGATCAAGAGAGGGGGCTCTCCGATTTGCCTTGCCAGTCTGGACCAACAAAATCGCCTCTTGAGGCGCTCTTGGGGCGCTCTTGGGGCGCTCTTAGGGCCGTCTGTGGGGCCTCTTGGGTCCCGCTTGGCGCTCTCTTGGGGGCCATCGTGGGGTCATCTTGAGGCCAGGCGCATCAGGAGCGAGAAGGCGAGAAGGCGAGAAGTCAAACATCACTACATGTCCTCAGGTTTTAGAATTTTGGCCTCTTGGGGGGGGTCCTGAGAGGGCCCCGAGAGCGCTTCGACCCGTCTTGTGGCCCTCGGCGGGCCTCTTGGAGGTGCGTCGGAAGCTGTCTTGAACCATCGCCGGCTATCT